GACATCACATATCTCTTTCCTGGTGGCTTACCTTGAGAAGGGCAGCCTAGACAGGCTGGCAGAGTACCAGCCACGGAGATAGCCCAGGGCCAGGAGTCTAGTTTTATCTCCGCTGCTGTCTCCCTTGGTGACCCCTCAGGATACTTTCCTCCTCCACACCTAGCTTTCTTCCTGTGGTAGGGAGAGCAATAAGATTATGTATTTGTTGTTTTGTTTTTTGCAGTACCAGAGATTGAACCCAAAACCTTTGCACAGAGCTACATTCCCGGGCCTTTTTTCCTTTTTTATTTTGAGACAGGGTCACTAAATTGCCCAGGCTAGGCTTGGATTTGCCATTCTTTTGTCTCCCAGACTGAAGGGTTGGCATAAACCATCATGCCTGGCTCAGGATTAGGTGGTTTAGAGCTCTATTTCTACTCACAGGTCTTTAACCTGTCCTAGGAGCCTTTCCACTAGTCCTTGTTTTCATTTCATTTTCATCCAGCCCAGATACTTTGTCATCAGTGGGGATTATGAGTACTTAGTAATTTCAGGTCAAATTTACCTATTTTCCTCTAGATCTTACTTTTCTTTTCTTTATCCTCTAAAATAAGGACCTCTCCCTTCACAGCTCCTCTTGAAACTTTGACCTTTAATGTAGACCATAACAGTTAGCCTTTTCCTTTGAGTACCCCCTGGAGAACCAAGATTCTGCCCTCCCAAGTCAGCAGGAGCCAGGCTGTCTGCTTTATCATTCTAAGGAAGGCCTTTGCAAATCAAAAGTTGGCTCTTCATTCTCAGAAATATGGCTCTCTTACTTGCGGAAGAGGGAGGGAGAGGACACCTTTCACTGCATATGAATGGTAGTCACTCCATAAAACTGTTGGATGGTCAGAATGTTGCCCGAGATGCTGGGCTCCCAAGAGAGTAAATGGTTGTAAAAGAAAGAATTTGAATTTATGAGATGATAAGCCTGAATTCAAATCTACCTCCCTGTGTTTAAGCTTAGGCTGGAGTGCTTTACCCTTGCTGAGCCTGTTTCTTTACAGGAGAATAATTGTGACGCTTAAACTTTTTTGTTGTGTGTGTGTGTGTGTGTGTGTGCACGCTGTGTATTGAACCCAGGGCCTTGTCCATGCTAAGTAGGTGTTCTACCTCTGGGCTACACCACCAGTCACCAGTCTTTAATTGGATTGTTCTGAAGATTAAAGAAGATAGTATCTGTTAAGCACCTGGCACTTAGTAGGTGCTCAATTACTCCCTTTCCAGTGTAGTTCTCCTTACCCCTGTATCACCAACTGGGCAAGGTGAAGCATAGGAAACTTAGGGAACAAGCTTCAGCGTTTTCTTAGGAAGTCCCTAATTCTGCCCACATCAAAGGTCGTATGGGGAGAAGAAAAGAAGACAAGGGAGAAAAAGCTTTGTAGCAGCCTGGTAAGCATAAGCATATTTTATTTTCTAACCTAGCTAAGAATATACTGGAGTCTGGGGGGCCTGGTGGCACACACCTATAATCCCAACATCAGGAGGCTGAGACAGGATGATTGCTGTGAGTTTAAGGCCAGCCTGGGTTATGTAGTGAGTTCAAGACCAGCCTGAACTACATATCAGGACCCTGTCTCTAAACACACACACATACACACACCCCAAACATGAGTCCATTCTCCAGGTGCAGTGGTGCTGTGTCCAGGTTTACTGAAATATGGGACTAGGCTCATGAACAGGTTTCCCTTATCAAGTTGATCCCCTTTGCAACAGGTTTTCAAGATCCACCATCAGGCTGTGGCCAGTCTGCTTGTCTTGGGGCCTGAACCTGTGGGACATGGGGGTTTTATTGTTCTGTCACCTTAATGATAGACAGCTTGTTAAGGAGGGACCAAAAGGGAAGGGGTGTGGGGTTGTAACTGATGAATTTGAATGACGTTGTATTGCCTTAGAATGAATCCCTGACAGCAAGGTGATGGATGTAGAGAAATCTAAATTCCTTTAGTTTCTGGCTGGGGTCTATGTGAGAAGGTTGGTTGGTGTGACTGATTGCTCTGAAAGTAAGATGGATGAGAAATGGGAGAAATTTGGAAGAAAAAACTGGGAGACTGAGCTTTTCAGGGATTCAGGCACACTTTTCATGGAATTCCCATTGTTCTGGGTTTTCTTAGTAAAAATCTCTGATATAATCCCATAGTAAACACAAGGCTTGTTTTCTTGGAATGACCATTTGAACAGGATGCCGGGGATGGTTTTATTTCTGAAAATCCCTCTTCTGATTATTTGAATCAGCAAGGTCCTGGGGACAGTGTCAAAGCACTAGGTGCATAAGTTCTTTGGCTGAAGATTCTGCTAGTAATACATGGAGAAAATCATGTTCACTTCCTTAGCAGAGTGTCACAACTAGTGTTTCAAAGTGGGTCCTCTGGGATCTATATTTATTGAGGATTTACCTTCAGGGCTAGGGCCAGGGATTTAGCTCAGCGGTTCAGTGCCTGCCTGGCAAGTGCAAGGTCCTGAGTTCGATTCCCAGTATGGGGGGGGTAACTTCAGGGCTAGATAATTTTATGTTTTGTTTTTTTTTTCCCTAAGTCCCTGGAAATAATCTTTCCTTTGCTTTGCTTTTTTTTGGTACCGAGGATCAAACTCAGGACCTTGCAAGGCAGGCATGATGCCACTGAGCTAAATCCCAATCTTTTCTTTTGGCTATGTCTTCAAAATTTTTACCCTTAATTCTCTTTCTAGTCTCCCTTCCGTATCACCACACATTTTGCACCATATACATTTTCTTTGTTTTTGTTTTGTGGTTCTGGGGATCAAACCCAGGGCTTCACACATCATAGGGAAGTTCCCTGCCACTGAGCCTGCACCCTGCAGTGGGTATATCCCCACCCCAGACCAGATCTTGCTTCTTAGCCCAAGCTGGCCTCAAACGCGTGGCAGTCCTTCTGCCTCAGCCTTCTGAGTACTGAGGTGACAGGGGTGTACCACCATGTCTGGCCTGCAGTGGGTTTTTAACCTTCCTTGAAAGAAGGACAGAGAGAAAATCTTCCATGTCCCTTATATAGGCTGCATTTTTATGAATTTGTCATTGTGGTGACAGTGGTAGTCTTAAATTCATTAGAAGTAATAAAGATCAGACTGGACTTTTAAAGCACCTGCTCATAGTTTCTCTTGAGATGTCAACTTCCTAATGTCCATTTCACCTCATCATTGAAAACAAAATATTACTTCCTCGGGTGTTTTAAAAATACAGTAATATAGCCAGGGATTTAGCTCAGTGGTTCCGGTGCCTGCTTCAAAAGCACCCAAGTTCGATCCCTGGTACAAAAAAAAAAAAAAAATACAGTAATACCTTGGTTCATGAATGCTTCTGTTTGCAAACAATTTGGTTTCTTTTTTTTTTTTTTTTTTGGTGCCAGGGATCGAACTCATGTCCTTGCGCTTGCGCAGTAGGCGACGAACAATTTGGTTTCAAACAAAAATGTTTGGCATGGGGCCGGAGATTTAGCTCAGTGGTTCTGCCACCTGCTTCGCAGGCGCAAGGACCTGAGTTCGATCCCCGGTACCCCCCCAAAAAAAATGTTTGGCAAAATTTTGCTTCCATTCTCAAACTCTGAATCAGGTGACAAACATGACCATGGCCATCTTCCCTACGCAAACACAAATGCAGCCATCTTCTCCAAGATTGTGAAAGAAATTAAGTTTGTAAACTGAAGTACCACTGTAACACTTAATTCTTTCTGATAATAAAAAATAATTGTTTATTGTGGGCAAATAGGAAAAAAAAAAAACTACTTTGGTATTACTAAAGTGGTATTACATAGGTATTATGGTGACAAATAGTTTCTTTTCTCACCTCCACCCCTCACCCCACCCCCTGTATGAGATGGAACCTAGGACCTTTGAGAACTGAGCTACATCCCCAGCACCTTTAAAAAAAAATTTTATTTTGAGACAGAATTGCACTAAATTGTCCATGCTGGGCTAATACTTTTCATACTTTTAAAAACAAAATTGGTTCCCTGCCTGCTGCACAAGCGCAAGGACCCGAGTTCGATCCCCGGTACCAAAGAACAACAACAAAATTGGATTCATCCTGAATATGCTATTTTACAATCACCTTTGTTCACTTAATATTATGAGTGTTGCCAGGCACGGTGATTCATGCCTGTGATTCCAGTGCTGAGGAGGCAGGAGGATTACTGGGAGTTCTAGGCCAGCCTGGGATATATGGTGAGTTCCAGGTCAGCGTGGCACATAGTGAGACAATGTCTCAAAAAAATTAAATAAATAAATAACAAGACGACTAGAACAACAAAAACCAAAAACAACACAAGTGTTTTCCATGTTACTGAAGATTTCTCAAAACTATTATTTTAGTGGTTACTATTCCATGATTTAGTTTATCCTACTGTTGAATGTTTAAATTGCTTTCTGATTTAAAGCAATAAGGTGGGGATGTTCCTCCAGTCTTAGTGATCAATCATCTCACTTGTTTATTCAATCTCTCTGCAGGGTGCCAGGAGGCCTAAGCAGACAGGAGAGATTCCTAAAGCCTATGCATTTAGATTTAGGAAACCGGCGGGTGAGCTCCCAGGGATTTTTCTAGGAAATTACCCTTCCTCCAAAGATTACCCTTGGAAGATGTAGAAATGTAAATGAGGAAAGCAGAATCCACAACTCTCTTAGTCTCTTGCCCTGGGGACCAGGTCTTGGTGTACAGAACCCTAGGAAGCCCAAGTTAAGAGAGCAAACACACTCTGAATGTGGTCCAAGTTCAAAGGGCTTTCTTACTCTCCAAATTGCTTAGGTTGGAATAAAATAAAACCTTCTGCATCAGAGAATCTGTATAGTTTTCCTATTGGTCAGGGCCTAGATTTGTTTTTGTCAAACATTGAAACCAAGGGAGTTGAATGTTCCTAGTTTTCTCCTGGTTGATAATTGGGATACAGAAGCAGATTTTCCCCTTCCCTTTCTAAGGTTTCCAAAAGGAGTAAGTAATAAATATATAATAAATATATCCCAGCTGGGTATATCAGAAGCATTTATTGCAAAATGAATGAGTTCCCAATTTGGGAAAATAACAGATGTTTTTTAGCTTTGGAGGGGGGGAGGATCCCTCTTGTAGGACCTTGTGTGGTAAGTTGTAGTCACCTGTCCACTTACTGTGACCATTCCCTCTCCTTGGCTCAAGAGATGGTTTATGAGTAGGAAACGTCCTCAGGTTATGTTGAGCCCTGGTTTCCCCAGGCTTAACCCGGGAAAACTTTTCAAAAGTTCATTCTCAGGTGAAATATCCAACACTCTAAAATCTTTGCAATAGGAGATAGGTGGTCTCTGCCTCATATATCGGCATGCATTTGCAGTTGGTCTTTCTGGGGCCAGAATGGGAGGAGGTTGCTCCTTCAGGGTCTGAATAAAACTGCTTCTTTTCCTGCTGTTTCCCAGCAGTAGAGCTGTTTGTGGCCTGAAACTTAAAGCACCAAGTACCTTGGTATCAAATACCAGGGTTCCCCTGGACCTGGGCTCTGTAGCAAGCTGCATAACTACAGGCACAAACACCAGGAAGCAATGTACAGGAAACACTGGGTCTGCCCAAGTCAGCAGGCTCAGGCTATAACTTCAGCTCTGCCATGAATACATTGTATGATCTTGGGTGTCCATTTCCCCATCTATAGCAGATATTATGAGGGCTGCAGACTGTGATTTTCTAGTTTTTCAGTCTGTTCTCCAGGAAAGCTGTATCCTTCTCCACTGCCATCCACCTGAGCAAGTGAGTTTGTGTGGGTTATCATCAGGCACTTCCGTTGTCCCAGGCACTGCCTGGGGAACGCACGCAGTAGTACTTGTTCACCACATGCCTGCATTGGTCGCACTTGACTGTGCAGCACCAGTGGAATTTACAATTACAACTTCGTATGGCATGAGTTCTCCTCTCTTCCACTTGCAGCCCACACTCGGTGCACAGGCGCCCACAGCTGCACTGCTCCCACTGGGATGTGTTGCAGCTTTTCTGCAGGCACTCTCGACCCTCTGTGCCATGGATGCCCAGGCTGGAATTGCGGGTACAATAGTCTGGCGATTCCTCTAGAAATATCAGCTCTGCCTCTGCACTAGGAAGGAAGGCCTCAGTTGGAATCCAACGGCCCTCAGCGCTGTTGCCAGCCCTTAGGTGCCGCTTGTCCATTTCAATTTTCAGCGCCTGGTCATACTTGGCCTTTAGGTAGCCTCCCATCTCCCGGAAGTCAGCCAGCTGCAGCCAGCATGTCTGGACACTGCAGCTCCCTGAGATGCCATGACATTTGCAGGTCCTTCTCATGGTGGCTCTCACTGCCTTTATAGAGAGACACAAAGGAAAGAATGGCTCTGAGCAAGGGAACCCAATGGCTACTCATTAAATGGAATGTTTTAGAGCTATGCCTCTTGGTTTTGGAGGAGAATCAGAATTAATACTGAAATGTAAAAAAATGTATTTCTGGGTCCTACCTCAGATCTTCTCATTGAGAATGTTCAGGGGTCTAAGGATGATGATTCTGATGGAGAGCCAGGCAGGAGTGGATGTTACTAGAGTTGGGAAACCTGCTCCAGGCCCAATGCCATCATCTGTTGAGCAGGTTTCTTTGCCCAATTAGAAAAGGAATGGAATAAAACAGGAGCTAGGATGTAGCTCAGTGGTAAAGTACTTGCCTAGCATGCAAAAGGCCCTGGGTACAACAAGCATTAACCTGGAAGCGGGGAGGGGACTGAATAAAATAATGATCAAGAAAGTACTTTGTAAATTGTAAAGGAAAATATGATGATCACATATACTGTTATTGTCTTAAAGCTAGGAACGAGAATATTTGTGCTAGTATGGATTTATTGGGCTCTCAGAGGGAAGGAACCTCCTGGAGTTTGAACCCTTAAACCCATAAGACAATTATCCATGGGTGTACTTTCCTTAAAAACCTCTTCCCTTATTGTGAGAAACCAGAACATCTAAGTTCAGGTTCACAGGAAAATTTCCATGATTTTTGGCTCTCAATCCAACTTGCTTCCAGATTTTGAGTTCAGAATACCCCAGAGATTGCTGCCCACCATAGGTCTTAGGGAAGAATAGACTCCCCAGAGAAGCCTAGATCAGTCCAAGACAGACTTTAGGATATAAGGTTGGATAATAAGTCCCTATTAATGTCCTAGAACATGCAGTTAACATGATTAAAATTGTAAGTCATGGAAGCAAGGGTTTTGTTTTTGTTTTTGCAGTGATTGAACCCAGGGCACTTTTGCACTGAGCTATATCCCTATTCCTTTTCATTTTAAAATTTTGAGATAGGGTCTCACTAAGTCACTAAGCTGCCCCTGCCAGGCTGGACTCAAACTTTCAATCCTCCTGTCTCAGCCTCATAGAGTGCTGAAATTATAGGCCTGGGCCACCATGCCTGTCAGCAAAGCCTTATTTTTTATTTTTTGAGACAGAGTCTCACTGTATTTCAAGCTGGTGTTAAACTCATTATGTAGCCTAGGCTGGGTTTGAACTCACAGGGATCTTCCTGCCTCAGCCTCCTGAGTGCTAAAATTACAGGTGTGTGCCATCATGCTTAGCTTTAATTCTATATTATTCTGTATTCTCGGAAAACTGCCTGTAGGGAGAGCCAGAGCCTAAGGTTTTGTGATAGGACTAGAAGATCTGAGTTCATTGTCCAGCATTGATGCGTATTAATTGTATTGCTTTGATAAGCCACTTGTTCAAACTTAACTGGCTTTGTCATCCAGAGAATGAGGACAGCTGTCTTAGTCTTGCTGGATGGTTGTGAGGATGAAACATGGGTATGAACAGCTTTTGGTAAGCTGGGAAGGGCTGTGCAGATATGAAGCTGTTGCCAATACTGACCGACTCCTATACCCACCAGCCTGCCGGCCCTGTTGTTGTGAAGATTCATCAGGGCTCTGGCATCTTTCCCCTTCTCCAAACTGTCCACAAAGAGTTTGGAGATCCTTTCCCCAAATTCCACATTGTCGCTGCAGCCTCCCCAGATCCAGCCATGGCCTCCTATACATAAGGAAAGAATAAGTTCTGCATATGGTTTCCTGCTAAGTCCCAGGAAAAGTCATGGTCTTTTTGGCTAACACAGCCAAACCATCCCCAGGAGCCCCAGGAGAGTGTAAATGCATGACTGAAGGTGAGATGGGGAAAGGGTTCTTGGCGTGGGTGGGGGAGATCCCATTCCAAAGCCAACTTCAGGCACTTTCCAGCTCTAGGCAATAAGTCTTCTATACCCAGAGTAAATGTAGGCACATTGGTGCTGGCCTAAATGATCTCAAAGCTTCTTTCAGCACAAACATTCTGGAATTACGCACCATCACTCTGTAATGATCCTGTTAGAGCTACCTCTTCCCTTTGTGACAAATCTGAGACTCTCTTAGGTGTCTGCAAATAGTTGAGTAGCCCTGGGTTTTGGACCAGCCTTTCCAATACAAAGGCTAGCTGTAAGCTTTCTTTGGCCTTCTCATTCCTGGTCTCCTTACTGGCTTTAGAGATAAAGTACTTGCTAATCCCTGGTTTCATGGACCCAGGCTCAGCTCTCAAGAGAGTGTAAGTCCAGGAGCTCCCACAGTTGAAGGGGCCCCAGGAGTCTAGGGTCTGAGACAGCTGTGTTCCTCAGCCTTTCCCTGGAAGGTTTAGCCTACATTTGGCTCTGCAACCCCTCACCTCTTCCTACCCTCACCATGACAGCCCTGCTTACCTGTTTTTCCTTTTTTTGACTCATCACAGCCACAGTTTTCAAAGTCACCCATGCTACAGTTTTTGGTGATGGTATACATGACTCCAGCAGAGCTGATAGCATGAATGAAGGAAGTCTCTCTGGTGGCTTTGGAGAGAAAGAGGGGACTGACTAGAAATTGGATCCTAACAGCCCAAAGCATTGGAAAAACAATGCTATTTTGCTCCCTTCAGCTCCACATCCTTTGGATTTAAGAAGATGCTCTTCTTGGGGCCAGGATGTAGCTCAGTGGCACTGTACCTGCCTTGTAAGCACAAGATCATGAGTTCAATCCTATGTACCAAAATAAAAAAATTTTTTCACCAGAGATTTAGCTCAGTGGTTCTGCTGCCTGCCTCCCAAGTGCAAAGTCTCGAGTTCTATCCCCAGTACAAAAAAAAAATTTTTTTTAAAAGATGCTCTTCTCACTTCATCCAGGCATAAATGAGCATCTCCATGGGATCAGGACCTCCTCCTGAAGTTTTTCCAGTAGCCAGTGCAGCTGGTCCATGGGCAGTGAGATTCAGGGCCACAAGGAGGCTTAGACAGGAGAGAAGGAGCTTTTCTCCTTTCTCACCATGGCACTCGGACCTTGTAGTAATCATGATGATTGTGGCTGTCACTATTGAGCTCTTATGTTACTAAACTCTACAAACATCCTAACATACCATCTCCATATATCCCTATTGTCTCTGCGAACCCTGTGGGATGATAATTCTTTCTGTGCTCATCTTCTTTACTCCCTTTTCCCCAACTCCTCTCAGGGAATTCCACTGTTTCTACTTTTAGTTGGGTGTGGTGGTACACATCTGTAATCCCAGCTACTCAGGAGACTGAGGCAAGAGAATTGAAAGTTTTACCCCAGTGTGGGGAATTTAGCATGAACTGCTTTCATAAATAAATAAATAAATAAATAAATAAATAAATAAATAAATGGCTCAAAACAACAAAAAAGGGCTGGTGATGTAGCTCAGCTGGAAGGCTTCTGGGTTCAGTCCCCATCATCACAAAACAAACAAGAAAATAATTTTTTTTGGTACCGGGGATTGAATTCAGGACCTCGCACTTGCAAGGGAGGTAGAAGAACCACTGAGCTAAATCCCTGGCCCTATATTTTTAATTTTGAGACAAGGTCTCATTGAGTTCCCCAGGCTGGGCTCAAACTTGCAATCCTCCCTCTTCAGTCTCCCAGAGTGCTAGGATTACAGGCATGTGCCACTGCTCCTCGGTGTTTTTTTTTTTCTCTCTCTCTTTCTTTCTTGGTACTGGGGATTGAACTCCGGTCCTTGCGCTTGCGTAGCAGGCGGCAAATCCATTGAGCTAAATCCCCAGCCCTTTCTTTTCTTTTTTAAGATAGAATCTTGCTATGTGGTTCAGGCTGGCTTTGGACTCACGGTGATCCTCCTGCCTCAGCCTCCTGAGAGCTGAGACTATAGGCATGTGCCACCACACCTGGCTCCTTTCCTCTTTCCCCATTTTTATTTCATGCAAATTAGCAGAAACATGTACAAACACAAATACAGGCATGCATTTAAAAAATAGAATAATTTCTTACATTTGTCATGAGATACTACTGTCCACTTCACTCAACCTTTAAAATATTCCTAGTGAGCTGTGTAGAGCTGGTTTTTACCCAAATAACAAAGGTGGCACAGAGAGAAGGGAAGTAACTTAAACGTCACACAAGGAAATGGCAGCTCAGCAGATCACCTTTTGGTGTCACTGTGCACACACACATTGCATGCACACATATGCTGCAGGCCCGCCTCGTGCACAAATGCCCCCTTGCCCAGGGGTCCTCCCCCACAACTTACCACTTCTCAGCCTGTTGTGGGTGGAGAGCTGGAGGGCATTCTCAGGGCAGTTCCAGCGTTCCCAAGCAAACTGGAACTTACATTCCTCAATGCCACTCTGGGCTCCCAAGGCCACGCTGGTAGTGTAGGTCAGGTAGGCCTGGCAAGGGGAAAGGGGAGACAGGGATATGAGCTTCTGCCTGGCACAGGTTGCCTGAGGTCAGGCAAGCAGGCAGGACTCACATGGGCCAGGTCTCCATTAAGAAACATCTGGGGTCTCTGAGCAAGGGGACCTGGGACTGTCTCCCCTTCCCCTCTTTTCTCTCCCAGAAGAGTTTCCTTAGGAACCCCAAAGAGTAAAAAGAGGAGTTGAAGACCATCCTACCTTGGGACCTGTCATCAGGAAATTATTCACTGACCTACCAAAAGGAGAAAAGGTGAAGCAGAGGTGAATAGAGATGAGATCATGGGGGCTTCCTTGGAGGGGCATGAGGGATGGGGGAAAGAACTTACCAGGCAGAGGCACTGAAGGTGGCACAGACTACAGCCACAGCCAGCCACAGCATGAACAGGTCACCCATGGCCCTGTTCACCCCAAGAGGACCAGCCCCAGCGAGGGCCAAGTGCAGAGGAGAGGAGAGAGCAGGGTCTCTGTCAGTATTTATGTGAGAAAATTCTGAATGGCCAAGGGTGAAAAAGCAACGCCCCTCCTCTTTTGTCCCCACTGGCAGGGCTGCAGGAGATACTGACCCAATGGGGGATCAGGGGGGGCGGGACTCAGCCCAAAGCCTTCAAGGAAGCCCCGCCCACCCCACCAGCAGGGCCAGCCTTCTCCCCTCCCAGACTCAGAGAGGGCCCGAAACTTTTCTCCTACCCTTGAAGTTCATTTTCTCTATAAGTCAGTTTGTCTTTTCCTGCCCAAGGTCCCATTTCTCAGAATCATGTAGCTTGGAATAGCCTAAGCCCCTACCCTAAGGTCACCTATCCTTGGGGCTACAGTGTCCCCATTTGTCAAAGAGACTTTACCTTTTGCCCTGCCTTTCTCCCCAGGGTGTTAATCATCATACAGCAGTGATGGCGAACCTTCTAGAGCTTTCAGTGATTCAAACAGCCTGCTGTGTCATGAGTGCCATAGGTTCGCCACCACAGTCATAGAGGAACTCTATTTGGGGACTTCTCCAATTTATTTACCCAAACAAGTGAGTGTACAGTCCCTCCCTCTTCCTGGATGACTGTATGGTGACAGAATTGTGGGACTTAGGAGCAGAAACATTACAGGGGCCATCTCTGCAACAGCCACTTTTTCCTAGAGTAAGTTCTGGTAAGTTTCCTTCATTCCTGGTAGGCCTCCCCTTTTGTATCTTCCCTTAGCTCTCCAGTTTGTTGATTGCTTCTATACCTGAAATCAATCTTTGGGCCTCCCAGGGTTATATTTGAAAAGACTAATACCTTTTTTTAAAAATAATTGGTACCTTTTAATTTTTATTTATTTTTATTTTTCGCAGAACCAGGGATCAAACTCAGGGCCTTGTGCTTGCCAGGCAGGTGTGGTACCACTGAGCTACATCCCCAGTCCCAGTTGGTACCATTTTGGGGGATAGGGATGCTGGGGTTTGAATGCAAGGCCTCATGCATGCTAAGCACCCACTCTACCACTAAGCTGTACTCCCAACCCCCATCTGATACCATTTTATAGCTAGGGTTTGGGCTACTTAGACAGGAATCTGTCTTTTAGATTCACTTTGTGTTCTTAGTACTGCACTTAAGAAGGTACCTGGATGAATGAAGGAAGGAAGGAATGAAAAAACCTGTGGCCTATAATAGGGACTCCAGGCATAATTAGGCAGGGTTGGGGGCTGCATGAAGAGGAACAGGTCTTTCTTGGCTGGTAAAGCACTTTCCTCTGACTGGGGAAGGAAGGCTAGAAGAACGTACAGACAGGAAATCACAGTTCTGACTCAATGTCTTGTGACCTTCACAGTATCCAGATTACTTCTCAGCACCCAGGATCTGGTTTGTACAGGAAAGGAGCTCAGCAAACTGCACCCATTCCCTGCTACCACCACCACCACCAAAGGAGCTCTAGGGACCAAAGGGTCCCCAGGCCCCTTTAGGGTAGTGCTCTAAAAGTATGAGTCAGAAATCGCGTCAGTCTGCAAGCCGATGTCCTTCTCCCGCAGGAATACAAGTGTCTAGAAATTGTTTGTAACAGTTCTACAGAATACTTTTAAATATATTAGACCTAATAAGAAATGTGGCCTCCTATTTTGTATGCTTGCTTTTCTGGTTCTGATTTTTCTAGAAAGATGGATATGAAAGTTGTCACTGGACTAAAGCTCTGCTGCCCAGTCCCAGCAAGCTTCCTTCCTCTGAGTGTCAGGTTCTCTGCTTGGGGAAAAAAGGTGTCCCAGACTTGAGTCACTTGGGAAAAGCTGACTAAGGTTGCTTGGTGGCCTTTTCTCTGTCTCCTACTTTTCCCAATCATGAATTTAATGTTTAGCTTTTACTTGTTAAATCAGCAAGGTTGACTTCAATGCCACCCACTGGGATCCGCCCAGGGTTAGTTAGCCCTGGGGTGGTCAGGTAGATTCTCCCTTGAAAGAGTTTTATGTATGCCTGCACCTTCATTCTCATTCCACATTCACTTTTGTTCTTTCTTTTCTTTTTTAATTTTTTGTTTTGAGACAAAGTCTTATACTATGTAGCTTAGGTTAACCTCAAGCTTGCTGTGTATCCCAGGCTGCCCTGTAACTCATAATAATCCTGACTCAGCCTTCCAGATAGCTGGGATTATAGACCTGTGCCACCAAGCCTGACTCTCCATACTCATTTTCTGTGTATAAGAGATTGGGTCTTTTTTTCCTGGGTCCCTTATAGCTCCTAGGATTTAGTTGGTACTGTTTGTTTGTTTTGAGACATGGTCTCACTATGTAATTCAGGCTGATCTTGAACTTACTATGTAGCCTAGGCTGGCCTCGAACTCACAGTGATCCTCCTGCCTCAACCTCCCGAGTGCTGGGATTACAGGGGTGCACTACCATGCCTAGCTTAGTTGGTACTCTCTAAAAAATTCTACTATATTTTCTAGGAAGCAGAAAGGAAAAAAATGAGTTTGTGTATGTCTGCAAACTTTGTGTTTGGTTCCGCTAAGATTTTTTTTTTTTTTTTTACCGGGGATCGAACTCGGGACCTTGAGCTTGTGAGGCAGGCACCAGAATCATTGAGCTAAATCTCTGACCCCAATCTGCTAAGATTCTTTTTTTTGATATCAGGGATCAAACTTGGGACCTTGGACTTTCAAGGCAGGCAGCAGAACCACTGAGCTAAATCCCCAGGCCTCTGCTAAGATTCTTTAAAGATCATATATTCACTTAAATGGAACTGAGGATGTTAAGGGAATACCTCTACTTTGGGTATCAAAAGCCCTGTGCTTTGGCCACTATTTTTTTTATATGGCCTTTGTAAATGACTGAACTCCATTTGCACTGTTTCTTCATCTGCAAAATGAAGGAGTAGAGAAAATGTTTAATATTGAATAACCCTGGGCCGGGGATTTAGCTCAGTGGTTTTGCCACCTGCTGCACAAGCACAAGGACCTGAGTTCGATCCCCGGTACCAAAAAAAAAATATATTGAATAACCCTAAGGACTTTCCCAGTCCTCTTAACATGTTATAATCCTAATTTTAAGATTTACAAAAGCTAGGCATGGTGGCACACACCTGTGTTCCAGCACTGTGGGAGGCTAAGGCAGGAAAATCACAAGTTTGAACCCAGCCTGAACAATTGAGCAACTTATTAAGAACATGTTTCAAAATCAAAAAATAAAAACAAGGGCTGGGGATATAGTTCAGTGCAGAGGCCCTGGGATCAGTCCCCAGTACTGTAAACAGATAAGAGAATTTTTTTTAAATTACAGAAGCTTTTAGGGGTGGGGATTTAGCTCAGTGGCACCATGCCTGCCTCGAAAAGTGCAAGGTCCTGAGTTTGATCCCCAGTACCAAAAAAAAAAAATTATGGAATTTTTACAAAATGAGACCCCGTCTCAAAAAAGAAATTATGGAATTTATTATATGTGCTGCTGAAGCAAGAACAAAAATTATGGAATTTATTAATTCCAGAGGTGATTGTAGGCTAGAAATGGAGAAATTGTATTTTCCCTAGCTTTAAGCATAGGAATCATCTTATTCAGCTTTGAATCCTGCAGTTGGCATCAAATGGCCTTTTTTTTTCAGTTTTTTTGAGACAGGGTCTCACTATGTAGTTCAGGATGGTCTTGAACTTATTGTGTAGCCTAGGCTGCTCTTGAACTCATGGTGATGCTTCTGTCTCAGCCTCCTGAGTGCTGGAATTACACGTGTGCACCACCACACCTGGCCCAATGCCTTTTTAGAGTCCATTAGGGTTTGTCTATGGAGAGCTTTGCGTCGACTGGCAAGGTCCTTCACTTCGAACAGAGGGTCCCTCAGAGAAAGAGAAGGGCCAGAGATAGATACCCCACACTGAGCCCACAGATCTTTTCCAGCCAACCTGCAGATCAGTTTCCTTAGCACCAGCTCTCTATCTTATTCATGTTTTGTTTTGTTTTGTTTTTCAAGCGGGGGATCGAACCCAAGGTCTTGTTCTACCACTGAGCTATATGCTCAGCCTGTCCTTCTGATTAGTTTTTAAGTGATGATCCAAGTTTCTTGGTTTCTCTTGTCCATTAGTGGAAATCTGGAGCTGAACACAGAGAAAATGACAGTGGGGATAGAGTAGGCCAGCGACAAGACAGACAAAAACAGTAGCATCTCTGAAGTAGTAGTGTGCTGGTAAATGGTTAACAACTGGCTTTGATGAGGCATGGGCCAAATTAAACACTTCCAATATGCACTGGCGAAGAGAAGCACAGCAGCATATGATTATGCAGTATTTCTCTCATCTAGATACAGGAGATGTAAAGAGCCTCAAGAGTATAAATAATAGAAAAATGTTGGCAGACATAGTGATGCATACCTGTAACCCCAGCACTAGAAGGCTGAGGCAGGAGGATTGTAAGTTTGAGGCCCGTCTGTACTACAAAGTGAATTCAAGGTCAGGTTAGCCTGGATTACATAGCAAGACTTTGTCTCAAAAAGAAGACAAAACTAGGGCCAGGGATTTAGCTCAGCGGTTCTGCCGCCTGCCTCGCAAGCGCAAGGACCTGGGTTTGATCCCCTGTACCACCGAAAAAAACCAAGCCAAAACAGAGTTGGGGATTTAGCTCAGTGGTGCCACTGCCTGCCTCACAAGGGCAAGGGCCTGAGTTTGATCCCCGGTACCAAAGAAAAAAGATGAAGGAAGGAAAAATGTAGCAAAATAATTTCAAAACAATGAATTCTTAGTATTTATTGTCCTTGGCTTTTTTAGTTTTGAGGGGCTTTTTTTGGTACTAGGGCTGGAACTTAGGACTTTGTACTTGTGGGGCAGGCATGGTACCACTAAGCTAAATCCCCAGCCCTGCTTTGTTTTGTTTTTTGAGACAGGGTCTTGCTATGCAGTTCAGGCTAGCCTTGCTAAAGGGTGTGTTTAACAGTCAGTTTGCAAAATTCCTGAATATATAATCAGCTCTCAGGAGCCACACAAGCAGCCTCCAGCACAACATTGGAGCCTAGGGTTCTCTCTCTAGGACACTCTGAGCTAAAGTGCAAAAGATTTCCCTGTGGAATTTAACACCAAATAATTGTTCCTGGTGTGTACAA